AAATCGACGAGTCTGTTTACGTGCAGAAAAAATCATGTCGGGCGAGTTTTGCCACAACAATGGGTCTCTGGAGGCATTTGTCAGGAGATTAGTGAGTGTTGCATGTTTTGTGTACAAGATAGATCAGCAGCTACACAATCACACTTATGCCAATAATCACAGCACATATCCTGCTGGGCACAACAGTCATGTCAGATCAATAGGCTTTGTCATTTCTTAGACCGGAAAACGTCATAGGGAACTATTTTTAGAAGGTCAGCGGACAAATATTGCTTAAATCATGGCAGCTTATAGTGTGTTTCAGCATATCGTTCGGACGATCCTTGTATCTCGAGTTACTGTTACATTTGCCGTTCAAGCAATGAAGTCGCATTTCAGAAAATAGAAGTAAAAAAAAATATGTAAAATATTTCGTAAAATAGAGTTGTAAACAAATTTCAAGGACACTTCGCTAACATAGTAATACTGAACAGTGTTGACATTTTGTCCGCGCTGAGTACCCGGATGATGAGTAATAATGACATCAGTTCTATTAATAGATTTCCGCCATTAAATGAGAAGCCCTATAGAGAGCATATAATGCAATTGGCACCACTCCGGGATTGACTCATCAAACGGTCATTTATTCTGTTAAGGTTTTGGATCCAAACTCAGGTGCCAATAGCCAATACCCAGACCCAAAGCATCGAAAGTTTGTGGAAATCTGCAAAAGAGAGAAACAAGCGCCACAACGGCACACACAGACATATGCTCGACTTGTCAATGTGTGAGTTCATGTGGCGTCAACGTGTTAAAGTAAATGGTTTTTATGTCTTCAACTATATTCTAGACGATATTGTTCAATTTTGGCCACTACAGTAGCGGAGGACCTTTAAAGAAGTATGTATGTTTTTATTTAAAATAACATCTGTTTTAGTTTTATTGGAAGTGTGAAGTGTTTTAAGTTTTAATGGAAATGTGAAATAATGTATAATAATTTTTTAATAAAAGTTTTTAAAGCTAATTCAGATTGATCAGGTTTAGGGATACATTTAGGGTTCAGGTTAGGTTTAGGGATACATTTAGGACATAACTTCGTGGGTCACGATAACCAAGATGGCGGCCGCGGGCTGATCTCTCCGAATTGTTTTTTATTCAAAAGAACATTTGTTTTATGGGAAGTGTGAATAATAATAATTTTTTGCGGTGAATTAAAATTGAAGTATCCACTTCTGATACAGGGTCCAAATAGTCGCAGCCAAACTTTTCATTACAATTACAGATAAGACAGTAGCCAATTTGCCGCCAAAAAAAAAAAAGCAACTTTGACCTTGAATCTTCATTGATGTCATGTTAATGATTATATAACTATATTTAAAATAGAATTAAAAAATGCAATAAAATCATAAACATTAACGTACTCTTACTTGCTTTCAGCTGTACATTGGTCTTCGTGTTTCTTTAACGAAAGTCTTCAAAATATAGCACATTTCTCCATTGATAATTATGGCTCTAAGTCTAAGTCTAACATGGCAAACCAACAGGAAGACAGGAAGTATCCGTCATAACCATCACGTGACCAACCGAATGACCAGCTGGGTCCGAATAGATATTTGCTACTATAGGTACCCGGGTACCTATAGCCACTCCGTTTTCATAAAGTCAACTCTCCTTTTGTTTTATATTTATGCATGGGCTAGATCGGAGCAAACATCTTTCAATCCGCGACTGAGTCAGCATAGTGTAAAATTCTTATTATATATGTATGGCATTCTTCCGTCTTCGTGGGACGATGGAGTAGCTATATAGTTCTACACTTTGACGAGTTGCTCACTAGGCAAATCCTAGAATGGCAATATCGGCCGCATCTCCCGCAGGAGTATATTGAATCCCGGTAAATTCTTGATTTCCGAATTGTTCTTTTTGATTCAAGGGCCTCGTTTCGAGTATCTTCTGCCTTTTTTACTCCTTCAAACAATAAAATTATTATTAATAAAGAAGATATTCAATACATATAGTTTTTTAACTGTATCCAATTTCGTTAATTTTTTTAAAATTATTACAGTAATAAATAATTACATGCTGTAAATTAAATTGGGATGTTTATAAATTCTCATCTGCAGGCCACAGTTCACATGACAACGCTGCATTAAATGCAATCGAAAATAAAGATAGTGAGAGTAGACCCGTGCTTTTAAAATAATTTTTTTTTATGCCCAGAAACAATAGGCCTAATACTAATAATAATAATGTAGTGATTAAGTGCTTTGAAATGGCAATAAAGAGGGGGAAAAACATTTATTTAAAAACAAATAAAATAGATTTTATTCTTGAGTGACAGTGAGCTTAAACCATACTTATTTTTAATAACCTCCTTTCTTGGACATTATGGGTATTATGTTCGTTATTATTAAGTTGAATTATTTGAGTCGGAAAATTTCAATAAAGGCATTTTAATTTTAAATTTGTTAAAGTTAAAGTATTAGTTTATTGTTTATTATTATTATTTATTTATTTGTAGTTGTTACTGAGTTCCTGATTTAGATTTTTTTCTCCAGTTTAGACTTTTGTTTCAAAATGTTTTATAAAACCAACCAAAACTTTTTTTAAAAAGTTTATATCTAGCCATCATCATACATTTATTATTTTCAAGCATTTTCATTTATTCATTGCAACAGAAAGTCGGTCACCTCAGTAAAAGAAGGTTACACAGATTAATGATTTGTGTACTTCCGGTTCATCGACATTGTAATAATAAATAAATATAATAGTAAATGTAGTTTTCACTTTCAGATCAAACTATGCACAACATTTGAATTATTTGAAAGTTGTGCATGAATCTCTGTTCTTAAGTGAGACGCCAATTAAAATATTTCATCAGGGATCAGGTGATGAAGCTGGAAACACATTTAAAATTCAAATGCATCTCTGCACTAACTCACTAAACTTAACATTAACAGTAACACTTCTTTTTTTTAACATGTACTTACTACTTACTACATACAGACATTGTCTACCTGATCACTGGAACTTTCTATCATTTATAACTATATCTATGAATTACAAACTGAATCATGGACTGACAGTGACAGACCTACTCAAGGAAATGGCAATCGTCAGCAATTGTAACTAACTGATTACCGAGTTAAGAGTTAAAATTAAAACTCAAAAGAGTTAAAATTACTTCAAGTCAGACTATAGTATAGTCATTTACTCAACTGGTAAAGTCCTGCCCACTTCACTCATTACTCAAATTACTGACTAAAGTTTAAGTCTTTAGTATTTGTTTAAGTTTAGACACTAGAACTGGAGCTAGACTCTTCTGAAATCAATTTAGAGACTTGTCTAGTACTAGTAGTAGTTAATTAGAATAGTAGAAAAGTACTTGTCGGTCTAGTCTTTACCTGAGAAATTATTTATTTAGTGAAGAATATTTACTAGTTTGTTGTGCTGATATATTATGATTATGAAAACTAAATATTATGGTTTAATATTGTCAGTAGAAATCGACCACAACCATGTATTAGAGTATTTAGAGTGCTAATTCTGAACTTGACTGTGGGTGCACAGATGGTTGATGAGACAGATTCTGGCACCAAATGTTCTTGTACAGTAAATGAATGCAGGGGAATGATGGGGGCATGTCTTTTGTCCACTGCAGCTGCTGTTCTGTTGGCTTTGTGCTGTTTGGAGCCTTTGTGTAAAGAGGAATGCTGCGATGCATGATCTTTTCCCAATTCTTCTTACTATGTCTCTGAATAAAAACAATAGCATTAAACACATAGATCTCTTAAAAGCAAATAAGCACAAACAAAACAAGTAAATCTTAATTACTGTTAATGAATCCATAAAATTTTTACAGAAAAAATAAATATAGCAAAGAGGCTACTGAGCTACGCAAAAAAAAAACTATTTACAAATTTGTGCTTTCAAATGTCATATGACCAACCAAATATAAACCTAACGTGACTGTTATACGCAGCCGACGATGAGGCTTTTAGATTGTCTCTAAAGCTAATAAATATAAAAGTATACTAATAATAGGCCTTGCATAATCTGAATCATAATTATTAATTAAAATAGCCTATTTATGATGAAACATAATCATACTTGTTATTATTTTGGTTTTTAAAATTCATGATTGACCAAATTAGGCAAAGTCTTAAATTTATCTAGACCTATATTCCATAAATATTGGACAATAAAAATGACTTGTCAATAGCTGTTTTTAAGAAATAGGGTAAACCCATTCTTAGTGTAAAAAATAGACAATTTCCTTAAGTTAAGGCTGCTGCAGAGAAACAAAGTTCAATTCTCAGTGTTTCATTGGGTTGTGATTTTTTTTTTATTGCCAGCTTTAAATTTGTTTTATCATAAGCAAGAGAAATTAAACACCGAAAAGAAGGCCATTATATAATATATAATGAAAATTGCTAGGCTTACATATGGTTTGGTAATGATTTTGGATCATATTATCATTATTAAATAATGTGGATTTATATAGGCTATTACTTTTATAGGCCTATTGGATTATGATGAAATAAATACATTATTCTGATACAACACATACACCTTAACTGTTTTTAAATCCAAAGACAGCATAGATATTTAATTGTAATTCTAAAAATGTTTTTCCGCTAATAATGTAGAGATTGAAAATATTTGTCAGTGAATTTTATTTTATTGGGCTGGCAAACCCTTAAAATACTATTATACTTTAAGGTCACCTGAACTCTCTGTCTTGAGTCTGATAAATATCAGACTGAATTTAAGTTAAAACTGGATAAATAATTTGATTTGAAAAATGTTATTTATTTTTTAGTAGTCCTTTGATCTAGGAAAAATATTCCATTTTGAAATCCAAACTAGCCCTAACCCTGTTTCTTTTTTTTTTTTTTTTTTTTTTTTTTTTTTTTTACATATTTCTCTTTGATCTAGGAAAAATATTCCATTTTGAAATCCAAACTAGCCCTAACCCTGTTTCTTTTTTTTTTTTTTTTTTATTTTTTTTATTACATATTTCAGCATGGAAGATGATGGTCCAGCTGACAGTAACACATCAGAATTCTATGACATAATATCCGATGGGGGACTTGTAGGAACTTCAACGAATTCAAACAACACAAACAATGAAAACAGAAGGAACAGTAAGTGCAAAACAGTTTCAATGAACACTTGCATCAGTAGTGCTCCCTTCGGAAGTCTTAATTATTATGTTCATAATAACATCAAAGCTCTGTTTAATATGTGTATTTTCTTTTTTTTTTTTTTTTTTCTTTTTTTTTGGACATTGAATTTGAATTATTGACCACTGATTTTTTTTGGGGGGAGGGGGGGGGGAGTTATCTTTAAGTACTACTAAAAATGAAAATATATGAGTAATCAAGCCTAAGAAAGTAATAATGCTGCTCCAGCTTAACAATCACATTTTGATTGTTTGGTTTTCTTTAAAATGCCTTACAACTGAGCTCTTAAGTTTTAAAAGCATAACTTACCTTAGATTTTAAAAACATTGAGTAATAATTAAAAATATATTTACATTATTTCTTTTTCTTCTTGTTTTGCTTCTCAGATAACTCCCAAGACACAGACGATAACAAAAATGTCTATATCATCATGCAGGTAATAGGCATAAGATATCAGAGCATGAATTGCAACCTTTTGTTGCACAATATAAAGCACAATAATTTTTTCCTATACACATTGCTGCTATTTGAAATTGCTATCTAAGAATATCGCTTTTTTAAAACAAAAAGTATGTCAAAATGTTTGTATTTAATTAATTATTTGTTGGATAATTAAATTTAAACATATATCTTGATATATGAGTAATATATGAAAATCATTTGTATGTCCTGTAAGCGAAAGATTTATAATGTGTATATGAGTATAGGAGGAAAATTTCATTTATAAAAAAAAATATGTAAAAAAAAATTATAATTATATAGTTGTTGAGAATTCTGATTTCTTTATAGAAGTTGCGTGAATACTTGATTAGCAGGATGTATAAAACTGTCTGCTGTGAGGGTTCATGATAAACTGCTGATTGCTGCTAAAGCTTTTTTTATAAGAGAAAAGTGCTGCTTCTAAATACAGATGAACATTCAAACGCTAGTTTTTTCTTTGCTAGATATCATGATATCAATAATGAAAATCATAGAAATATGTTTGGTCCTTTCCTCAAAGGTTATTCCATCTCTGAAAAACCTTCCTTAATTGTATCTGAAGGCAATTAATATTTAGTTATGTTGATCCATGGTTAAGTGTATCAGTTATGTTTTAAAGATGTTTGGTGTGTGGAACCTAATGTTGGGGTGTACCAGGCCCCCCCCCCCCCCATGAATCATTCATAGCATTTTCGTTAAGTCAAAAGAAAGTTTTAATTTGATTATTTCAGCCGAGATAATCTTATGTAAATCTTGTTGGGAGAATAAACCAAGATAATCTTTTGTAAATATTGTTGGAAGAATAAACCAAGATAATCTTTTGTAAATATTGTTGGAAGAATAAACCAAGATAATCTTATGTTAATCTAGCTATAAGAATAAACCAAGATAGTCTTATGTAAATCTTGTTTACAGCAACTCAGCTCAAGTAACCCCAACACAGTGTCCAGTCATGTCATGACCTTCACCTCATCAGATTCAGTTTCCCTCTCAGAATCTACAACCTTAATGCCCCCCCCTGCAACTCCAGACAGAAAAAATTCCCAGGATGATTCGGACAGGTAAGAGAATTCAATACAAACTTAAAAAGTGACCAACAAATTGGGTCAACTACATTCGACATTTGTACTTGATTATTTTTTTAATGTTGTTTTTACATTTCATCAGTCTAAATAAACATTATGTAATCAATTATAAATCAGATGACCGAGCCGACATTGGTGAAGTGTGTCACTGTCGGATTACGCCGTCATGTCTTGGATTTTGTTTAGGTGTGGGATTGAGTGCATTTTTTCTGTTGTGTTTTGATTTTGTAAATTTGAGTCGGGCAGTACTGGTTGGGGGGGCGGGGTGTAGAAGAAACGTAGTGTAAAGTGCGTCATTTTGTGTGTATGATGCAGTGAGGGTGTATTTTGGAATGCAGACAGATGTTTTGTGAATTCCAGTTGGGAAAGTATAATTTTTTTTGTGTGTTAGAACTGGAAACTGTTTTGTCTCATACATTGTGACAATTGTGACTGTCAAACCTTTGAAGGGAGGAATTAAAGTAATCTGAAGTTATTATTTTAAGGCTTTGTGTCTTTATTACTATGCATCAGCCTTGTAGAGGCTCATCAGCCTTGTAGAGGCTCATCAGCCTTGTAGAGGCTCATCAGCCTTGTAGAGGCTCATCAGCCTTGTAGAGGCTCATCAGCCTTGTAGAGGCTCATCAGCCTTGTAGAGGCTCATCAGCCTTGTAGAGGCTCATCAGCCTTGTAGAGGCTCATCAGCCTTGTAGAGGTTAGAGAGTATATTTCTAGTAGGGGGTCTAACCTCTAGACCAGTGTTTCCCACATTTTAAGTTTAGCAGACAAGCTTGGAAAAATGATCCAGAGACCGGTGCCAGATTTATTTATTATATTTTCTTTATTTGACCTTAAAAATTCGTGTTGTAAACACACATGCCGTGTAAGAGTTGCGGGCCCGTGCAACGGACCACCATTTAGGGAATGCTGTTCTAGATAACTTTGCTGTCACAATGTGATCAATTTGCTCTTAGTGGGTGCATGTACCAATATCCAATCACCAAGGTAAAGATTGTTTTAAATAGTCCTTTAGCCCCACATCTGCTGTTGTTGTCGTGGTAACAGCCTGCTTTTCTGTCCCACCAGTGAAAACACCATAAGTGCTTGCCTGATCTGTGGGGACAGGGCCTCCGGGTTCCACTACTCGGTCTACTCTTGCGAGGGCTGCAAGGGCTTCTTCAAGAGGTCGGTGCAGAAGAGTCTGCAGTACGTCTGCAAGGACCAGGGCATGTGCTTCATCAATAAGTTCTCCAGGAACTCCTGCCAGTACTGCCGTTTCCAGAAGTGCCTCAACATGGGCATGAGAAGAGATGGTAAATGTAGCAGTTTATTTAAAAGCCTTCATAGCCTTGCCATGGAAGTGATTCCCCTTTTTTAAAAAGATTGACAGTTCCACAAAGGCTTTAAAACCCATAGAGCAGTGGTGTGCAAATGCTGCTCATGGTCCTGTCAACTGTCATTTCTGTTGGACCTGCCAGTTTTTATAATATCTGCAATATTTTTTTTTATTAACCTTATTACTATCAAGTGCATTTTTCTCAAGCCATTTTTCAAGCCTTTATTTTAAGTTCGCTTTTGTTTGTGGCTGGCAAAATCTCTGGACGGCTCAGAGATCCAACTCCCATCAACCTATCGAGCTGGAACTTGCCACATGGACTCGTTCTATCAAATATTCTGCCCCACCCATAAAAATCATTTTTTTTTCTGTTATTCAACGGGAAGATGAGGGAAATATGATAACAATGATTTCATGAAATTAAATTACAGATAGCTGCGTTGAATGGGATTCTTTAAAAAAATATTGTAAATGCGTTTGGTGCGTAATATTTTCTTTTCTTTTTTTAAAAATATTTGGTGAAATAATTCTGTGGTGTAAAAGGCAGTGGGGCATTAAAATATTAAAATAACTCAGGGGTGTACAAAATTGATTGTTAGCCTTGGGGGGGGGATGACTAATTGGAATTCTTATAAAGTGCATTACTTGTTTGCATCATTTGTCAAATTGTCGAAAAAGTCAAAATCCCATATGAAATTAATTCAGAGACCCTTACAAGTATACATTTTCTGAAAAGTGCATTGGACAAGGTATCTTATGTTATGAAAAAAATTTGATTTTATATTGTGTATGTTTTTTCACCTTGATTTTTACAGAGTGAATAAAATTGTACCACTCAAGTTCTGAATTCAACCTAAACTAATACTCCACAAATTGTTCATGCTATTATAACATCAACTTTGTAAGATACTAGAAGCAATATTCTTTCAGACGATGTCAAGTTATAGTTACTTATATTACAACTTGTGATATTGGTGAATTTTTTTTTCATTCACTACCTTCAAATTTGTGTCATACAAAACACAAAGGGGAAGGCACAAAATGAGTTCAAAAATTCCTTTTCAATTGAAGTTATTAAATCCATTTTTGAAGTTAATTAATGCTTTAGAACAAGGGTCGGGAACCTTTTTGTCTGAGAGAGCCATGGACACCTCATATTTTGAAAAGTAATTCTGTGAGAGCCATACATTATGTTTAAAACTAAAATTCAAGTAAATGTGTGCAATAATTATGCAATAATTATGTCTCTGAATTCTTTTTAATAACATTGTTATTCTGTTGCTAATCAATAATGAGTATTTCTTACCATTAATGCGATTTTTTTATTATTTTTTTTTTTTATTTTTTTTTTATAATCGAACATTTGTCTGTGAGCCAGATGCAGCCATCAATAGAGCCACATCTGGCTCGTGAGCCATAGGTTCCCGATCCCTGCTCTAGAATATACAAAAACATAAACGTCTTTGAACCTCTTTAGGGTAGGTCTTTGGGATCCAATCTTTGTCTTTCCTCCTCATTATCCTTCCTTTCCCAAAGGAATTTTTCTGTAACACTATGACTTAGCTGAGGGCTAAAATTGTCAATATCTGACTCTTGTGCTGCCATCTCCACTGCAGCTGACACTGTCATTAAAAGCACATGAAATATCTCTGCAATCAAAGCTTTGAAACGCACAGATAGAAATATAAATAGGAAACAAACTCTTTTATATAGAGTGATTTCCCTTAACCAATATGTATAAAATCATTTACATTTTTAATGACGATTTTGCCAGCTGCTGATTTTATCAGCCATGACACAACAGAAAAGGGTTTAACGGCCGATTATCTGCCGTTATGACAGTTATTGGGTTGAACTTACCACTGAAATTGGATTGCATAACAATTTTTATTTGTAAAAAAAAAAAAAAGAAAAAGAAAGCCTTTTAAGTGCTGCAAAATTTTACATTTTTAATGACGATTTTGCCAGCTGCTGATTTTATCAGCCATTACACAACAGAAAAGGGTTTAACGGCCGATTATCTGCCGTTATGACAGTTATTGGGTTGAACTTACCACTGAAATTGGATTGCATAACAATTTTTATTTGTAAAAAAAAAAAAAAGAAGAAGAAAGCCTTTTATGTGCTGCAAAATAGTGACATCCTTCTACTACATATACATAATCATAATGGTAAATAAAAATTGATTATATTAAATTTTGTGTCCCTAAAAAGTGTGTTTTGGCTTTGTAAAAAATAGTTTAATCTATACATTTCAAATGTTCCATTTCACAGCATTAAAATTTCTTATATGATCCCAACAAATACTTTAAACCTGTAGCTTATCATTTACTCACATATTCACCTTCAGATAATCTCTTTTGGTTAATTCCTGCTTATTTATCTACTTCAAAAGGCATTCAAGATAATTGTTTATAAAAACTGAGTTCCCAACTTGCCATCTTTCTTAAAGTTAATATGCTACGGTTTTTGTTGTATCATACAGTCTATGTTCAATTTTTTATTGCTAAGATTAAAAACAAAAAGACAAGTGCCTAAACTAGGTGGAGCAAGGTAATGTCAGCACTACCTATATATGGAGTAGGTGGAAGTAGGTATCATCATCACATACCTATATTTTCAAAACCAAGAATTTTTTTTTACTACCGTATTGCTTTATGCTCTGAACAGCTGTTCGAGAAGACCGTTCCCCGGGTGGTAAACACAGACACAAGCGGCCCAGGATTGACGACCCAGCCTCCTGCGGGATGTCCAGCCCGGGTGCACAAGTCTTGCAGACAGTGACGATAAAGACAGACATCCCAGTTATAGACGACCCTCTCCGAGAGAGCCTCCTGGCAGCAAAACCCCACCTTTACCCAAAAGCCGAAAGTAAGTTGAATTGAACCCAACTATTCAACCAAAAGCCGAAATTAAACTGAATTAAACCCAACCTTTTCCCCCAAAAGCCGAAAACCAAATCTCATGAAGCATTGATGGCTGATCCTTCAATGTATCATGCTGGTAGTACTTGGATGTAGAATATTTCATTTGATTTCTTATTCAGCAGCTCACAAAGAACACGTTGCCCCATTTTGCACTGGACTTGTAGATATATGCCCCCTTGAAGTTAAGCCATGCTCATCCAACAATTTAATCTCAATCAAGATGATTGCAATGATGGATTTTGTACATTTTTTGGTTTCCATAACTTTACTGCAAACTTTTCTTGTCTTCAAAGACTTTCTTTTACACTAAATTTTTTCAGACTCCATAGACAAGATTGAAAACATCTCCGTCAGTGAGCTGATGCATTATGGGTATCTAGAACTGCGTTATATCATTGAATGGGCAAAGAAAGTTCCCGGTAAGCTGGCACGGTAAAAATGTATTGTAGCTTTAATGTTCAGAACTTTTGGAAATATAATCTTTCTAATTGGTAAATTTAATCACTGAAAAGATCGCTGAGATTGTCTTTGTGTGAGTTTCACGAGTCTTTATTGAATTGTTTCCCCACGAGGAGGCTATGCATGCATTACAAAAGTGATAACTCGACTCGGTTCAGTTGCTCTTTTGCTGCTTCGAAACTCAAATTACATCCTGAGTCGAAATGGACCATTCGCGCCCATTCGGATGTCATGTGTGGTAGTTTATTTTAGTTAAACTGAAAAAGTAAGTTTACAGGTAGTCCATTCAATTATCTTTCATTTGATACCTCATTTAGTCTTACAAACCCAACAATAATATTTTAGAAAGATTTTTAATCCCAACCTCTCACTTCTGATACCCGGGTACGAATAGTCGCAGCCTTAAACGAATGAGCCCGCCAACTCCCATCCATGCTATGTTAAACATTTTGTACATATCTGAAACCTAGAGATTTTTTATAACACAAAAAATCTATCTGGAGACCTGTTGTTTTTGTTACTTCAAACTACAAAAAAAAAAAAAAAAAACTAATAATAATTATTTTCCATTTAATTTAATTTTAAGTATCCCATCCATGCTATGTTAAAAATTTTGTACATATCTGAAACCTAGAGATTTTTTATAACACAAAAAATCTATCTGGAGACCTGTTTTTTTTGTTACTTCAAACTACAAAAAAAAAAAAAAAAAACTAATAATAATTATTTTCCATTTAAGTTCATTTTAGGTACATTCAGTCACCTTAACATCACTTCATTCAGTTTAAAAGTTTCTGTTCCCAATAAAAAATGTTTTTTTCAATTTTTAAAAACTTTTCACCCTGTTGTTGCTAGTGCAGGAGGTGGTGGTTAGCTAAGTCTATAACATAAACAGCTGTCACTGCCACACCAAGGCATCATTAGCGCACTCCAATGGATTACCATCCATAAATGTGTATGTGTTCATTAATTATCTTTATTTACTACTGTGCTCGCTATTATCACACACTTTAGTATGGCACAAACTCATCACACCACCTCTTCCAACATGGCTGCCTAGACTCGTCTGTTACATCCATATCTCTGTTGCCTCCCCTGATTCTGCATAACATCAAATTAGCCTGCGCAAAGTCATACTGTTACAGTAGGAAGCCATCAGTTCATTTGACTGCTCCTGCTATGGAAGGCACAACTAACAAGTTTTCAATTTTCTCTCGATGCCCCTTGTTTAGGCTTTGCTGACCTTGAATTCCCTGACCAAATGGCCTTACTTAAATCTTCTTTTATGGAACTCAACGTTTTGAGACTGTCATTCCGGTAAGTTCGTTTCTCAGCAAACATTTGCGATACTTTTAAAGAAATGTCATTCTGGTAAGTTCATTTCTCTGCAAAACATTTGCAATACCTTTAAAACTTGAAATCGGTTCCATTTTTCAGTAGGACATACCGCTTACCGGTGCATTCCAAACTTTTCTTATCGGGGACACTTTTTTTTTTATAGGACACCCACCCTTTCTCTACACAGTAAGTCTGTTCCACCAGTGTAGCCATCGTTGAGCTAACCCTTGTTGAGACAAATATGGCACAAACATAAAGTGTCATAGCGCAATGTATGATGACCAAACGTGCCTCATAAAAACCTTTCATTTATATTTCGGGTGTAATCTTGAGGTGCAAAGCCACCAGCTAAATCACCATGTTCGTGCACAAGCAAAATCACCGTGTTTGTGCACAAGCTAAGTCGCCACATTGGTGCACAAGCAAAATCACCATGTTTGTGAATCATTTTAACAGATTCAATTCATTTGTTATTTCGGCTTAGTATTCTGCTCCAGAAAGTTCAAAGTTCATCACCCAGTTTAAAAATAACTTCCTCATCCAATCACAGCAGTGAGTTTTAGGATCTAGGAATTTATGTCGTGGGGTCTCTTGGAACATTTTGAAATGGTCCACAAATAAGATAAGACAAGATGGGATGGGATTCTTTATTGAACCAAATAAATGGAAATATTTTTTTATTGCATTGTCAGACCTGTTTGCTCTAACGATTTTGATGTACAATGTACGATTTTGAGGTGTATACATTATATATAGTGTATGTTTATGTTTTTACTATTAAGATAATGTATTGAACGATTTTGTGATGATATTGCATGATTTTAAGAGTTTGAGGGTAAACAGGTCTGCATTGTACATATTAATTTTAAGCACATAAATAAATATATATTACTCGGTTCACTTCACATTTCCAAATTTACTCGCTTCACTTCACATTTCCAAATTGACTCGGTTCACTTCACATTTCCAAATTTACTCGGTTCACTTCACATTTCCAAATTTACTCGGTTCACTTCACATTTCCAAATTTACTAGGTTCACTTCACATTTCCAAATTTACTCGGATCACTTCACATTTCCAAATTTACTCGGTTCACCTCACATTTCCAAATTTTCACAGTTCACTTCACATTACCAAATTTACACAGTTCACTTCACATTACCAAATCACCTATCACCTATCACGTCTCCCGATTCTCTAGCACAAATTTGATATACTGCTGTTATTTTCTGGTGCGCAGGGGTTAGTGTGTCTTATTTTTTTTATAACCCCCGCACCATGTAAGAGGCACGCTGCTGCTGTTGTACCCCACAGTTTGGAAAGCTCTGCCGTTAACTTTAACCGTAATATAATTTACTTTTTAATAGTTCAATGAATATCCCGGATGGCTCGTTTATGGTTGCTTATGGGTGCGTAGTCGAGAGGGTTGGTATTGAGAATGTCATCGGCCGGTAGGAATTATCTTGGGAAATGTGCATTTTATCACTTGGAAGTTGTTTAGTTAATTAATGAAGAATCTTTTCTTTTTTTTTTCTTTTTTGGTTGAAATATGTACTATTGACATAAAATCTAATTACATTTTTTTAATCAATGGGATTTGCATAACTTTTATGAAAACCTATTTTGATCATGTTGAATCAAAATCCCATGTGACATGCATCTGCCATTCGTACACACCCTACATGCATCTGCCATTCATACACACCCTACATGCATCTGCCATTCGTACATACCCTACATGCATCTGCCATTTGTACACACCCTACAGATCCATGGATCTGGATGATAAGATCAAGTTCTGTGAAGACATCATCCTGCCCTTGGAACACTGTGAGACGATGGGGTGGGGCCGGGAGCTGGTGGATGGCACAATAGACTTTGCTCAACGCCTCAAGGACATCAACCTTGACTTGACAGAGTTCTGCATCCTCAACGGCATCGTTTTAATGTACCCAGGTCAGTAGGTCACTCGGTGGCATGTTTTAATGCACCCAGGGCAGTAGGTCACTCGGTGGCATGTTTTAATGCACACAGGTCAGTAGGTCACTCAATGGCATGTTTTAATGTACACAGGCCAGTTGGTCACTCGGTGGCATGTTTTAATGTACCCAAGGCAGTAGGTCACTCAGTAGCATGTTTTAATGTACACAGGTCAGTAGGTCACTTAATGGCATATTTTAATGTACACAGGCCAGTAGGTCACTCAATGGGTTGTTTTAATGTACCCAAGTCAGTAGTTCTTTCAGGGACATGTTGTAATGGACTCAAGGTCAGTAGGTCACTCAATGACATGTTTTTATGTACCCAGATCAGTAGGTCACTCAATGGCATGTTTTAATGTACCCAGGTCAGTTTTAATATACCCCAGGCAGTTGGTCACTCAATTGCTGATTTTAATGTACCCAGATAAGTAGCTCACTCAATGGCTTGTCTTAATGTACCCAGATAAGTAGGTCACTCAGTGACATGTTTTTATGTACCCAGATAAGAAGGTCACTCAATGGCATGTTTTAATGTACCCAGGGCAGTAGGTCACTCAGTAGCATTTTTTAATGTACCCAGGGCAGTAGGTCACTCAGTATAATTTTTAATGTACCCAGGTCAGTTGGTCACTCAATGGCATGTTTTAATGTACCAAGCTAAGTAGCTCACTCAATTGCATGTCTTAATGTACCCAGATAAGTAGGTCACTCAATGGCATGTTTTAATGAACCCAGGTCGGTAGGTCACTCAGGGGCATGTTTTATTGTACCCAGGGCAGTTGGTCACTCAGTGGCATGTTTTAATGTACCCTGTTCAGTTGGTCACTCAATGACGTTTTATGACCTGGATTATATTTTTAATTTTATCATATGCATTTAAAGACTTTATCCTAAATAGGGTTCCATGGCCCTCATCCATAGAGCAATATAGGACAAGAACCTGTGCCCTAGACTAAAGATCCATGGTTAATGCAAACTTAGTTTCATAAAATAATATAAAGAAAGCAATATCATTGTATAAATGTGTTTTGCCTTTTTTTTTAAAAATATATGTTCTTCCACTTGACTTACTTTGTTGAGCATTGCAGTCAGTGTCTATAACGACTGTTTATCTTTTATTGCAATAGATGCCCATGGGATTGAAGACAAACTCCGAATAGCCGAGCTGCAGTCTAAAATTCTGGACTGCCTGAGACGCCACATTGTCCGCCAGTACCCCCTGGACATGAAAAGATTCGGCAAGATCCTGCTGCGCCTCCCTGCCCTGAGGATCATCAGCGCCAAGGCCGCCGAAAGGTTTTTGTCCCTCACATTCGATGGCTCGATCCAGCTGAACGAACTCGTTTTAGAAATGATGAACTGATTCGCGAGAAAGTATTTGATCGCATCACAGCGCGAAGCCCACATTGGACCACAGCAGCCCACATCGGACCACAGCAGCCCAAAACAGCCTGTGCATGGGAAATCTCATTCAGTTGTTTGTGTATATATTGGAAGTAACTGGGTGGAGAAAAAAAATAATGTTACACGTTTTTAAATATTTTTTAAATTTCTCTCTTTTTTGTTGCTATGAAAGATCTTTTGCTTTCTGAAACCTTATTTTAAAATCATTTTTGTGTAACATGGCGTGCACAGTGTTGCATTGTGTACAATGTTGCGTTTAGTACTGTGAAGCATAATTTGCATATTTTTTTTACACTGCTAACACGTTGATCTTGTACCAGGATGCGTAGCATTTTACATTGTATTCCGTGTACCCTAATGTGCATTTTTTTTTACCGCATAACGTTATGACTGTGTGCGCCAGTGTCAGATTGGGCAAAGCCTTGGCCCATCTGTTTATATGTGTTTGCAAAATTTTAATAAATGCCCAGTTTGTCAAATGTTACCAATGAAAAACTTTGATTTATAATTAATAATAAACATGTTTATGATATGATAAAAAATTTCTTTAAAACGTTATTTCATTTATTTTTTTTAAACACAACCGTATCATTCATTAATTTGTAAAAAAAAAAATCTCCATGTTATAATTATAAATATCATAGCCCATTGGTTGGTCCAACACTACAGATTTATGTGTTACGGTCCAACACTACAGATTTATGTGTTACGGTCCAACACTACAGATTTATGTGTTACGGTCCAGTACTACAGATTTATGTGTTACGGCCCAACACTACGGATATATGTGCTACGGTCCAACACTACAGATTTATGTGTTACGGCCCAACACTACAGATTTATGTGTTACGGTCCAACACTACAGATTTGTGTGCTACGGTCCAACACTACAGATTTATTCGCTACGGCCCAACACTACAGATTTATGTGTTATCGCCCAACACTTCAGGTTTATGCACTACGGCCCAACACAACAGATTTAAGCGCTACCGCCCAACACTACAGATTTTTGTGTGTGACATATATGAAATAATATAAATAAACAAATTTATTTAGATTCACTTTTAAAAAAATATACAAAATTTTGTTTTAATTTTATTTTAAACGTTATTTTTTTTTTTTTTTTTTCATTTTTTAACTTTTTTAACCATTTTATTATTTTGAAGGAAATAGTTGAATAAATATACAAAATTTTGTTTTAATTTTATTTTAAACGTTATTTTTTTTTTTTTTTTCATTTGTTAACTTGTTTAACCATTTGATTAATTTGAAGGAAATAGTTGAACAAGGTTATGTGTAAGATTGAATCATAGACAGTACAAAACTTATAAGATAAGGAAACAGTGGAACAAGTTAATGTGGAAGCATGGATCAAAAGGGCAGGACAATGAGTGGAACAAGGTAATGTGGAAGCTTGAATCAAAAGACAGGGACAATAAGATAAGAACCTTTTGGCTAAGAGCCTTTCTCGGCAGACATGACAAATGAACCGTTGGACAGTTAAAAAAAATAAAATCATCTTGCGTTAAGCTCCGTTAACTTCATCCCTTCTGGTTGCACCACTTGGCCCTACCACTACCATGACATTTATTGGTTGCTTTTTATTTAAACCTCATCATCCCGCCAGCTAAAAAGGGAAGATGAGTGATTATTAACCAAGATGACATTTAACCGGTTCCCGGAAATTTGATAGAAAGAAATTTTGTCGACGGTAATTTGATCGAACGGAAATTTGGTCGAATCTTTTTTTCAGTTAACACGTTAAAATTTTCGTCAAATTTCTTTTTGAACGCACTATGCTATGTAGTAAAACATAACAATGCGTTCAAAAAGTAATTTGAAGCAAAATGTTAACGTAAAAAAAAAAGATTCGACCAAATTAACGTCGATCAATTTACCGTCGACGTAATTTCTTTCAATCAAATTTCCGGTTATGCATTTAACCTCATTGGGGGGGGGCGCGCTAATCACGTGATTAGACCAAGAGTATAACTTGGCATTTTGATTGCAGTCCCCCAGGATGCCCCATTTTGGGCTGCTGTAAATATGGGTCGCCAGGACTAGGCCTTAGGGTTCTTGTTTTGTTTTTGGGGTCAGTGATTAAGTAGGCAGCCATCAAGTAGGCAGCCATCAATTAGGCAGTGATTAAGTAAGCACCAATTATTTAAAATTAAGTAGCGCGCGACTTTTGTAACCATTAATAAACATTCTCCTACATACTACACTCTACAGCCAGTATATTACATTTTACATCCTAAATACTAAATCCTCATTTCTACAGCCCGTATACTACATAATACATTCTACAGCCCATATATTGCCTTTTTCATTTTTCAGCTTCTATAGAACATCCTAAATGATACATTCTATAATTTATATACCGTACTACCTACTTTATTCTGCAGCCTATATACTAAAACATATATTTTACAGCCTGGAAACAGCCTATATAATTCATCTCAGTCATACATTCTACAGTAAAACACTACATTCTTGATTCTACATTCTATATACTAAATCTTCCATTCTACCTTCTATAAACTTAAGCCTGCCATACCCTCCTGAGTCCCGAGAGGCAAGTTAGAGTGAAATCAACTTGACACCTATTTTATTGTGCTATAAGTGATGCTAAAATGCTAAAAAAACATTGAAACAAAAAAATTTGATTTTGATATTTGATTTATTTGATGTGCAGTCCACTGGACATCGGGATCCAAATCATTTTTTGCCATACGTAAAAAAACAACAAACAATTGATTACAAAACTCAATCACAAATGTTGCAGGGTTGAACCTTTTGATTATTTCCATCAATGTTTTGATGAACAATTCTACACAGACACAGACTTTTCACCAATCTGCATACTGGTTCCGTTACAGCCGAAGAAATAAAAAATTTTCTTGGAATTAGCATGGAGATGTCTTGCCTGATGTATCCCTCAATACAAATGTACTGGACAACTTCAAATAGGGTGCCAAATATTGCAGAATCGATGGCTCCAACTAAACAGTGTTTACTATGGTCAAAAAAGGAAAAAAATTATATAGAGGAACAGTGTCCATGTCTAACAAAACAATGTAATCACAACATGGGAGGTGCGACTTGTGTGACCGAACGTTGGGGCTATTACGCTACTTGAGCAATAAATTCCAAATGGTCAATCGGAGTAATATTCCATATGTTGGACCAAGCTACTGTAAATGCATAGTTTCAATACTGGGACCGAGAAGACATGGAGCAACTAAGCCTGCCTGAAAAAGCACTCCTCCATTTGATGACGTCACCTTTGAAAAATATAGAGGGAAAAAAAAAAAAGAGTCCCTGTGCCCAATCCAGGTTTTCATTAACAAGTTGCCCATCTCTCTGATAATCCAGATATTGATTCAAATTCTTTTTCAAGATGTAGCAGAGAAGAATCTTCAGCTAAATGCAGGGTGCGCTGTTCAACTAGCAAAGCATTTTTGTGTTTGGTTTCCAAAGGAACTGCTTCAAACTTTTTCATACCAAATGCAAGTGAATGAATCTTTTGTAAGCTTAATTCATTAACTTTGAGATTAACATCTGACAAATCAGGATCAAATTGGTTATGTCAGAGGAAGCGACTTTCACTTTTTTTTTGTCTTTGGACAAAGGTTCTTCGTCTTCAGATGATTCATTTTCAGAGTTTGATTCATTGTAATCAATGTCGTCATCTATATCGATTTCATCAGAGGATGAGGATATTTCTCTGATATCTGACGATTGTTCAAACATCACATACAACTGTTGTTCTGTGTGGTATTTTCTCTGAGTATTGCCTACAACTGTAAAAAATAAAAAAATAAAAAATCAGTTTGCATGATGAAAATAATATATTTATTATTATTCATTTTTATGATAAATTATCAAAATCAGGGATTTTCTTAAAATTTCAACAAACTAAATAAGGCCTTAATATTGTAGAAGTAGAATGCCTAAATTAAATATTCCCACTTGAGATACAGTACTATTATTAGTTAGTACTAAGTTTAGTGAACTGTTACTGTAAACCTAGGTAACCTAGGTTTACCGTCTGTAGGTACTAGGTAATTTTCATTATTTTTTTATTTAAAAATCTGTTAATAAATTTAAAGAATATATAAGAGATCTAACTAAATACTGACTAAGATATGTGCATCGGTAAGCCTATCTAAATGAGTAATTACTTTGATAACAATGATACCATTTAAACACAGCTGAAAATGACATCGATTGCATAGAACTATGACTACGCCTTTAATTCTTATGTGTGTCGTCACCGTTTCACCGGTGTTGTTATGATTTGAGTCCTGTGTCCAGTAGACTGAACACCTTTTTCAATGATGAAATAAACTACGACATAATGATATATGAATAAAAATCCTATTATATTCGTATTCTTTGATATATAATTGTCTTAAAACAACATTAAAATCGGCCTTAAAATCTTTAGATTGGGTTAAATCTAATAAATAATAGCAAAAAACTTACCAGCACCCCCTGAGCACGAAGCTACTGCCCCTCTGTCGGCCATCTTAAAATTTAGTATTGTCTATCTCGGCGTAAAAGTAGGTCAAACTAGTGTAAAAATGTGTCCAGCAGGCTACACAAGAGGATCCAAACGAAAATTAGCTACCAAGTTAGAATAAGACATAGAAAACTATTGTCCAGTGGGCTGCACGCCTGGACTCAGGAGGCTATAACCTGTGATGCACCCTTTTTGCCCTGCCTCATTTTCTGTCTCGGGTTGATCCTGTAGTATAGGCCAAAACGTGCCAAAGTGTCCTCGTTTTATAGCCATTTTAATTGTTTCTATAGTATAGTAGTTACTATCCTAGTGTCTCATTTTTATTTTACTTAGTTTACATGTTTTTAATAATTGTAAAGCGCTTAGAGCTTTAAGGTAAGCGCTATATAAAAGTGCCTAAATAAATAAATAAATAATCTCTAGATTTTTGCTGACAAAATATGATTCATTCGTTTGATCTCAGCTGCAGACAAATTGAAGTTTAACTGGTTGCAATTTCTTTTCATTATTATTTGTCTTATCACTTATAATTTTGACTCTTTTTTTTTTTTTTTGGCGGAGTGGACTTTGTGTATGTTTTTTTTCCTGCCTAATATTTAATGTTGGTAGCTTCTACTGACAAAGTGTAGTCTTTAATTGCCCATTATAATATACTGCACTTCAATCATTGTGATGTTGCTAATTTTGTGACGAGAGTTACCCCTGGACTCAAATGGAGCCCTCCAAATGCCTATGCAAACGGAAGATCGTCACATCTGGAAGACTCGTACTGGATGATTAAAAAAAAAAAAAAAAAAACTCTTTGTGAAGACAGTGTTGTTGATCTAACGACTCGGCTAATACCGAAGCCGACTTGTGGTGGCCGCGCGCGGGACGACCCATCTGGTGGCCGCGTGTGGGACGATCCATCTGGTGGCCGTGTGAGGGAAAAATCCGTTAACTCTCGAAACGGACGTCTCCAATATTGACACGCCTCGGTGTTTGATGCGGAGGTTCAAACAGCTGACTCTCTAATCTCATGCCTCCGGTATTTGCATTTCTTCGTGTTCGCTGCAGGTGTTTGACGGAAATGCCCCACCCCGTCAGATTTATGATTCGTCAACTTTGACCGGGATTGCAGCGTAGTGCGGTTATTGAGCGGGACTGTAATGTAGTCTGCACAGCGGTTCTCTACATCGTAATATGGACACGTCTTCTAAATTCTCCGTAACCTTTATAGGACACTGTCATTCGCCCGAAAGCGGTAACTATGGCAACCCCACTATATGTAGATGAGCCCTCGTGCTACAAGAGTATAGTTTCAATTTGCAGCTTATCAAGGGCTCTGACAATGTTGCTGCAGACGCACTGTCTCAAATAGCC